TAAAAAGTAAATTGGTATGCCATCCTGTTCTGTAATTGGTGTAGAAACTAGAAGTCCCTCTGAAAGTAGAGTTGGCTGACTTCAGTGAAGTAAAATTCTGTTACTTTGTGCTAAACCCACTGCATTAAAAAACTTGGCCTAAATAAGAAAAGGAGGTCCTTTTTCTTAGTTACCTTTTTCATTTTTTTTAAACATTTTTTGTCTAATATTACTACCATGTGGGTGGTGACAGATGTGAAAGTTTGTGCCATGGAGAAAACATTAGAGTCAACAGTCTCTATCTTCTAACCCCACTTTTTTCATCAGAAAAAACAGTAGGTGGGGTGGAGGAACCGAGGCTGCTTGTCACCCAGAATTAGCATCCTAGATAATAATAACATGAATAACAGTTAATAAATTAAAGGAAATTTCTTTTAAATAGGCAACAGTATTAAAGAGCAAGTCACCTGGGTTAACGTATGCTCTTGTGGTAAAAGTAATCCCTGAGAAGTCAGTTGTTCCAAGTCTTCCAGTGAATTTCTCAACGCAGTTGCAGTAACAAAGAATGACCAGTTCCACATCTCTTCACATTATTTAGGGTTCAACTTGGTGGACAACCAGAGGAAGGAAGACAAGTAATGATCCAGCAGTCTTAAATATAACATTTCTGCCGTTAGAAAGAGCCCTAATAGGCCTCATAACAGCCAGGAAAAGGGAAGGTCATTCAGAGCTCCTCTTTCTACTGCTCATAGTTATTCACCATACTAACGAAGAGGCACCACGACTAGAAATCATTCCACCTTGTCTGTGTTTAAACTGTTTAGTTCAGTGGTTTACCCTGCTCACTACATCACAGGCTGTGTCAGTAATAACACCCTTAACCTTCCTGGAGACAGAGCCTGTGCTGCTATGAAAGGACCACTGAAGCCACCAGGATGGCACCTGGTATCAGGGCACCAGGCATGTAGGTCTCAGCTAGATAGGTAGGCGTTTTCCAGAGATACAGATACTGCAAGACTACCATGGAGAAGCATTTAACGATGCAACCGCTGTCAAACCAGGTGGAATTCTTAGGATTCTACAATGAAAATAGCTGCTGATGGGAATTGAAAAAGTTTTAGGTACTGCATGAAGGTGGGTGAAATTTCAAGAAATATAAGAATACTTAAATATATTCCAAAAGATCCCACTTCAGGCCTTGAACGTTTTTTTTTTCACTGACAGAGACTGTGGCTGCTTTTGACTTAGAGTTTCCTGCAGAGGGAAGTATTCACTAGTGTATGAAAACCAAATCCATGCAAATACATATTGGTCCCTGCAGCAGTAGGGCCCTTCTGTCCCAAATCCGGGTGTCTCCCTTGCTCTGCTCTACAGATTAAACAGCAAGGCGGGGGGGGGG